GTTGAGGCCCGGGGGATGCAGTTGCACCTCTTTCGTCAAGGCCTGTGGCCAGATTCAGATAGTGGGCCGATTTCCCATTGGCATTTTCGGCCTCTATACCCAGCATGCATTGTCGGCCTCATGTTGAAATCCGAGACTTGGTGCACTCCAACCAACTGGCGTGCTGCAACTGTATGGACCCCACTTCGTGAAATGTTTGTACAGAGGGCTCTTGTTGATATGCTGGCCCGCCTTCACTTAGGGCGGGCACGAGGCTTGCTGGGGCCTTAGCCCAGAACATGTACATCATGGCAAGGCCCCTTCCTGAGGGCTCAATCCTCACATTCCATCCCCCTTAGCTTCGAAAGTCCGCTGAGATGCTTACTTYGCAGGTACCTTCCCTTYCAGCAGTCTCTCATATTCTGCCACCACCTGAGGAGCTGTTTCAATCAGTTCCTCTTTGGTGAACCACCGATCTTCCTTCGGATCCGTATAATGCCTGAATCTGACGCGATACTCCCGCTTGGGTTTTGGAGGTCTTCCTCTACCCAGTGGCTTTGGAAACAGGCAGATCTCTGTGATCCACAATGTCGTCGATGTCCACTTGACCATCCATGCTTGGGGGCAGCATCGATCTCCTTGAAGGGAACTGATCTGTCTCAGCAAAAGGTGCAAGCTTTGAGGTATGAAAGACAGGGTAAGTACGCAGGTGATCAGGGATACAGATAGCGTAGGCCGGATCATCCAAATTATCCCCCGCTATATCCAAGACTTCCCGAGATGAATCAACTAACCTTTTATTCCATGCCTTATCCAGAAAGCATAATCCATCCATCAGGAGATGGTCTTTCCGATAGGCTTCCTCCATCGATTGAGTTAGCTCGTGAGATATGCCAAATTCAGAAGTTAGTGCCTTACATGATAGCGCATCAGCAACTTGTTATCCTCCCCCTTCAATTGTTTGAGGGCATTGGAGAGGACAGGTTGAGTCTTTAGTCCACTTTAGAATCTGATGATCAGTCCTTGAGTAGAAGATTCTACCCAACAGTTAGTGTTTCTAGTGGATTAGAACCTTGTATAGGGCATAGAGTTCCCTCTCTTAATTGGACTTAGCCAACTTTGTAGATGACATCCTTTTGCTCATACTAAATCGGCCTCAACTTCTTCCCTGCCTGCTGGGCCAGCACTGTGCCAATCCCATAATGGTTAGCGTCAGTGGTTACTATAAATGGCCTCTGAGGATCGGGAATCATGAGAAACTCGTGATTCATGAGTGCGTGCTTCGATCATTTGAAGGCAGCCTCACACTAATCACTCCAGTCCCATGAGGAGTCAAGTCGTGTATGATCTATCAAAGGAGAGACGACTATAGAATGGTTCTTTACGAAACTCCAATCGTAGCTGCTCATTCCTAAGGAAGATCTAACCTCAGTCACCCTCTGAGGATGTGACCAGTCCCTAATACTAGCCACTTAGAGGCTCTGCGTTCTTCGCTGTGATGGCTTTGAGACCTCTATAATCAAAGTGCATCCTCAAACTTCCTCCCTTCTTTGTTACAGAGTACACTAGGGATCCGAAAGGAGAAATACTTAAGCCGTTTACATCCCTTTTCTGTCAGCTCCTTCAGTTGTCGATAGAGTTCGTCCCACTCGTCCTAGGCCATCCTATAGATTCTTCCCTTTTTGGGGTTTTACTCCCTGGAATTATTTCTAGGGTGTGGTCTATCTCCCTTTTAACGACTCCTGTGGGCTTCTTGAACAGATCAAGGAACTTAGCGAAGATGTAAAATAAGTACATACCCTCCTCTTGGTTTTATAGTATTATAAAATGTTGTTGTTCATAAGTACTTATAGGACTCAAACAACCTACTAGCCTTCCACTTAGCTAGTCTAATGGTTCTCCTATCAGGCAACTCATGCTTCAGCACTTTCTTGTCCCAGTCCAACTGGGGCTTGACAACCTCAAGGTAGTACATTCTTAATAGCATGTCGAATGGCAACTCGTCACTAATCTGGAACGAAATCCTATGATTAAGTTCCCCTCCTCCAAAAGAGAAGGTCTAGACTACATCCTTGACATAGTCTTTCACTCGCTACAAAGTGCTCGTCGTTGGCCAAAGTAAATGCTACCAGTCTACTAAGGCGTTGTACCTGGTCCTATGGCGCAGCCTTTCCATACAGTCAGAGCTTATGTAGTTTCGCGTGGAGCCAATGTCAATGAAGGCACCACATTTGCGGCCTCCTACACCAACTTCCACATACTTCTAGGACCATCACTTTGCGCCACCCAGGATTCTCTAGGGTCCCTGTCTGACCACTCACTCTGCGAATCCTCTAAGGCCTCAGGCACATCTAATGTACAAAGCACATTTTGGTCTAGATGAGTCTGCGGGATGACTAAAGAGTCATTAGCCTTGGCCAACTCATGAAGTGGGGAGGGTATTCTCACTTCACCTTGAGTAGAAGCAGCTAAAACTTCCACCGGCCTCACGTGTTTCCCGAGCTAGAAGCCTGGGAAGAAGGCACCCCTCTCTTAGGGATATCTTCTGCGTGACCTTCRCATTCTTGCACTTATACTGGGTGTGCTCATTTTCACCTAGTTAATGCAAGCTCCATGCGAACGGCGGTCCCGCTACACTATTCTAAGCCYGCCTTMACCCAATYATCCACTTTAGACTGATTGGAGGCGGCCTGCCCTTGACTCTTTTGATGGCCCTTCATTCGGYCATCCGCCTTAGCYTTTTTTACCGCGGCAAGGGTGCTACCCTCAGCATAGTCCTCACCRCAATCCTCTGGTGTGTCCATSAGGTCAGAAGGGTCACTGACCTCTTCATTCGTCTACCCTTCCTCTTCCACTCCTGTGGACTCTGCTTTCTTCTTCCGCCTACTGAAGAATGATATGCCAACTGT